AGTCAAAGGTCAGCTGATCAGCTCTCCTACCTTCAATGCCCCAGGTGGGTGGCTGGTTTCCCCTTCCACTGCCTCTTTCTTGCTTTGAGTCTCCACCTGCCTGCTTGGGAAGGGTTGGTCCCTGGTCCCACAGCTGCTCCAGGATGTCCTGGCTGTCTCACTGATCTTTGCTTCCTCTGTGTTCAGCTGCCCTGTTTGGAGACGCTGCCCCCCAGGTGAAGTCAGAGCGTCTTCGGGGGCTGCTCGACAGACAGCGGGCCCTACAAGAGGCACTGAGCCTGAAACTTCAGGAGCTCCGGAAAGTGTGTCTTCAGGAGGCGGTGAGGGCCTGGCCCTAAGGGTATCATGCAGGAGGGGGTGAGGGGCCCCTAGGTAGGCAGACTACAATGGCAGTTGCTGCACCACTTATCTGTGCTATAGGTTCCATGTCACCCTCTGTCTCCTCAAAGCTTGGCTGAGAGGTCTTGGAATCAATAAAATATGATGATATAGACCCACAGTCCCTTGTTGACAAACCTCAAAACATGAAAACTGTTTCCAAAATTTGGCAGCAGAGCCTACCCTTAACTGACATGGGGCAACTTATAGTTTTGATTTACCCCTCTGAGTGTAAATATCTTCACAGTTTTCCTGAAATAATAATGGGGTTCAGACCATGCAGCCCCAGAGCCCAAAGGGAGTGTTATGTAATATGCTGTGCTTTTATAAAAACTAAAAAATTCTGGACTCAGCAGATGCTGAGGGATGCAGTAATGCATCCTTGTATTCCCAGCACTCAGAGGCTGAGGCAGGAGGATTGAAAGTTCAAGGCCAGCCCAGCTACATAGTGAGGCCCTATCTCAAAAATCAGACAAATACTCCTTGTACTATTAATGTATGCTATTTTTTAAAAAGTAAGCAAACAGAATTCTGGATTCTAAAGAAGGTTTCCCAGCCTCCCATGCCCACTGCCCCAGAGGTTTGGGCCATTGAGGGGCTAAGAGTCTACATTGCTCACCTGCCTTGATTGGGAGCTTGGGAAGAGATAACATGTGTGGGGTGTCCAGCAGGGTCAGGATCCTTGGAGGACTTCTGTAGCTTCTGGGATCATCACTGCTTATTCTGTCCCTCAACTAACTTGTGGTCATCTCTGCCCCCTTCACCCTCCAGGAGCTGACTGGACAGCTGCCCCCTGAGTGCCCACTGGAGCCTGGTGAACGGCCCCAGTTGGTGCGCCGTCGGCCCCCTGCAGCACGCGCCTACCCTCCACCTCATCCCAACCCATCACACCATTCTTTGTGCCCTGCTGAGGTGAGCAGTAAGATGGTGCAGGGGCAGGCATGGGCAGAGTGGGGATTGTGGCCAGGGGAGGGAGAGGCTAAGATGAGAAGGGAAAGGGCTTGGGGAAATGGGTTCCCAGTATGATGTTGGTCCCTAACTCTGCAGAACAGACCTCCCACCTTTAGGAAGATGAACAGGCCTAGTCCCCCATCAAGATGGGCCCTTCCCTAGAGGATGAATAAATAGACTTACCCCCAGAAAGAGGAGGTCTGGCCTCCAGTTTTAGATGGGCTTTGCCCAGCATCTGATCCCCATGCTTGGTCACTTCCAACATTTGGTCCTGTCCACCCCTTTTGGGCTGTGCAGGAGCTGGCTCTTGAGGCCCTAGAGCGTGAGGTGTCAGTGCAGCAACAGATTGCGGCTGCTGCCCGCCGCTTGGCCCTGGCCCCTGAGCTGAGCACAGAACAGCGGCGGCGCCGGCGCCAGGTGCAGGCAGATGCACTGCGGAGGCTGCACGAGCTGGAGGAGCAGCTCAGGGATGTCCGGGCCCACCTCGGCCTCCCAGTGCTCCCACCCCAGCCACTGCCACTGTCCACGGGGGCACTCATCACCACCCAGGGAGTCTGCCTGGGCACACGCCTTGCTCAGCTCAGCCAAGGTGAGCCCAGGCCCCGGCGTCCAACCAGTGAGTGGGAAGGTGGACTGGAGAGTGAACTCTGGCCAAAGTGGGTGGTAGGGGTAGGATGGGTGAGCAGCCAGCAAAGGCCGAGAGGGAGGTGGACCTTAAAGGACCCACCCAGTAAGGAGAGTTGTGACAAACTAGCTCAAGGGCAAGGGTAGGACTGATCAGTAGACACAGGAAGGTGGAGACACAAGCCCGCTGCGGTTTTCCATTTATGTAAAGGTGAATATTTGGGGAGCAAACAGGATGAAGGTGCAGAAGGCAGGCAAAGCAGAGGAGCCCATGCAGTGGTGTAAGGAGATGGTGTCTGGGCCTGGACTTGGGAATGACAGGCCGGTTTTCCTCTTTTTACCTGTAGAGGATGTAGTTCTACACTCGGAGAGCAGCTCCCTCTCAGAGTCTGGGGCCAGCCATGATAATGGTGAGGACCCCTACCCCCAAAACTGGCCCCAGCTCCCTCCTGTGTTCCCTTAGAACATTCTGTGTTGTTTAGTCCCTCACCTACTTCTTTAGCCATGCCCTATCTTCCTATGGGCTCCCATCTTCTTCACATCACCTCAGTCCTGCCCCCTCAGCACTGGGACCTACTTGTTAGCTCCTCCTGTCCCCTTTCTGCCCTGCTTTGTCCCTGAGTCTGCTTGACCTATCCTAGTATTCACCCCCTCTTTGTTTGCTCCAACCTTTCCTGCCCCCCTGGGCCCCTTCATTGAATTCTACTCCACTCTTTTGCTTCCACCCAGAGGAGCCCCGCAGCTGCTTCTCTCTGGCTGAGCGCCCCTCACCACCAAAGGCCTGGGACCAGTTGCGGGCAGTATCTGGGGGGAGCCCCGAGCGGCGAGCCCCATGGAAACCACCCCCGTCAGATATTTATGGCGATCTGAAGAGCCGGCGCAATTCTGTGGCCAGCCCCACCAGGTAAGAGTGAGCCCCTTCCCTACTTCCCCAGGAGCAGGAATGGGATCCTGAGCCTGGGTTGGCAGGAGGGCCTGCTGCTGGGTGTGGTCTCTAACCTGGGCCCCGACCTGGGCCTGCCCATCTCTGTCTAGCCCCACACGCTCGCTGCCCAGGAGTGCCTCCAGTTTTGAGGGGCGAAGTGTGCCTGCCACCCCTGTCCTCACCCGGGGCACTGGCCCCCAGCTCTGCAAGTAAGGGGACTCTGAGGGTGGGTCTGAGGATCAGAGGAGGGAACTGTTAGTTCTAACTGGAAGTGTTGAGGAACGACTAGTAAGAGGTGTGGGGCGTGAGCATCTGGACCTTGCAAGGTGAACAGAAGTTGTCTTGGTGAGAAGAGGGTGGGAATTGGAGGCTTTAGTATGGGCTTTCTGTACCTTTTGGACAAAGTCATTTCCCTCCTCTGAATCTTTGTCTCCTCATTTATGAAATAGGCATAATATCTCCCTTTGAAAGATACAGGCATAAGCTCTGGTTAACATGTACTGAGTGCCTACTGTGTGCTTTTTGTGATATTAATTAATTTTCATCACAAGGCTCCTCTGAGGGAGTGGTATTGTCTTTCCCATTTTATAGATAAGGAAACTGAGGCACAAATGGTTAGTTAACTTGTGAGGAAACCGAAGTCCTGGTATTTGAACTCAGGCAAATTTGCCTGTAGAGTCTGCTTTTAACCACTATACTGTTTCATAAGTAAATATTCAAGTGCCCACTTTTCTCAGACTGCGAACAAAACAAAATCCCTGTCCTGGTGGGACCGCATTCTGTTCCTCCTGGCTGTTGGGGTGATCTTTTGAAGGCAGTTCATACACAGTATGGGACAGAGTTCAGGCAGGTGTTAAATTTCAGGCCTGAGGACTAGGACTTCCTTTTGGAGGTAGGGAGCCCCCCCCCCCCCCCCGCCTGCAAGAGAGCCTTGGGGGGAGAGGGGGTCAGGGGCCAGGTGTACAAGGAAGAGCCCTGTGCTAGCTTTCTCATAAGCCAGACAGATGCTCACATCTCCCTTGGAGCCAGCAGCCCCAATCCCTAAGCATTTCCAACCCCTATGGCCTCAAGTCTGGGACCAGACCTCACTGCCCTTTACCTGCCACTACATTATATCTTCATAGTACAACATCTAATCCTGAGCTCATTTTAGAGTCGTGCAAGAGGAGGTTCAAAAAGAGATGGGGTGGGGAGGGCACTCAGGCCACATGCCTGATTTTTCTGACCCTACTCCTGTTACCCCTCCTCTGTACCCCAGACCGGAAGGCCTCCATTCTCGCCAGTGGTCCGGCAGTCAGGACTCCCAGATGGGCTTCCCCCGGGCGGACCCTGCTTCCGATCGCGCCTCGCTATTCGCAGCTCGCACCCGCCGCAGCAACAGCTCCGAGGCCCTGCTGGTGGACCGGGCAGCTGCTGGGGGAGCTGGCTCCCCGCCTGCCCCTCTGGCTCCCCCTGCTGCCGGTCCCCCGGTCTGCAAGAGCAGTGAGGTGCTGTATGAGCGCCCCCAACCAACCCCTGCCTTCTCTTCCCGCACAGCTGGCCCCCCAGACCCTCCACGGGCTGCCCGGCCTAGCTCAGCAGCCCCTGCCTCTCGCGGGGCCCCCAGGTTCCCACCTGTGTGTGGAGACTTCCTCTTGGACTATTCCTTGGACCGCGGCCTGCCCCGAGGTAGTGGCGGGGCAGGCTGGGGGGAGCTGCTGTCTGCAGCTGAGGTCCCAGGACCCCTCTCCCGCCGGGATGGGCTCCTCGCCATGCTTCCCGGCCCACCACCCATGTATGCACCTGACGGCAACAGCCCCCTCCTCCGCAGCAAGGACCCCCACACCCGTGCTACCCGTTCCAAGCCCTGTGGCCTGTCCCTGGAAGCTGCCGAGGGGCTGGAGGTGCATCCAAACCCTCTGCTGTGGATGCCCCCACCCACCCGGATCCCCCCGGCTGGTGAGCGCAGTGGCCACAAGAACCTCGCCCTGGAGGGGCTGCGGGACTGGTACATCCGGAACTCGGGACTGGCCATGGGGCCCCAGCGACGGCCTATGCTCCCGCACGTGGGCCTTCCACACCCACCCTTCCTCCATGCCCGCTGCTATGAGGTGGGCCAGGGGCTATACGGGACCCCCAGCCAGGCGCCAATCCCGCACTCAAGGAGTTTCACGGCGCCCCCTGTCTCCGGCAGGTATGGGGGTGCTTTCAGTGATGGGTAGGGGTCTCTTGAGGCAGATGGCAAAGATATCCAGGCCAGGGAGCAGCTAGTCATGATAGCTGATAACCGGGACCATAAGGAAACTAGCTGCACTCTTGATACAGGGTTGCTGTAGTGGGCCTGACCTGTATTATTAGTCCTTGGAGTCCCAATGGAGGGGGATCGTGGGTCACAACAGCTCTTTCCCAAACTATAGAAGGATTTTAATATTTGAACCAGTGCATGGCAGCTGGAAATGAGCCTTGAAGCCAGGGTACTGGGAGGAAGGGACAAATGTGCCCCTTGCTTTTCTCTTCTCTTCTCTGTGCCCCATGCTTGGGAGCCTGAAGGTGCTGTCCTGTGCCTGCCTCCACCTCTTTAACGAGCCTCTTTTCCTCTCTCTTTCTGTGTCTTGTCTGTCTTTTCCTCTCTTCTCCGTCTTCCCCACCTGTCTTCCGGATTCCTGCTGTCCCTTCTAAAGATACTACACGGACTTCCTGTACCCCCCGGAGCTGAACGCTCGTTTAAGTGACCTGACACTAGAGGGGGAGCAGTCTTCCAGTTCTGACCCCCAAACCCCAGGGACACTGGTGTGACCCCTCCTGACATGCCCCTTGTTGGCCTGGGCATGACTCCATCTGGAGAGCACACAGCTGACCTCGCCGAGTCCTGGGATGTGGTTGCTCTCAGTCCTGGAGGGCACCAACCTGATCTTCCAAGGCCCCTGGTTCCCTGTGGGCCCAGGAAGGTGTCCAATCCCCTGCTTCTCCTCTCACACTGTGCTGGGGACTGGGGGACCTCAGCTAGCTTCAAAGGGGAGGGTTGATGTTGTGGGGACTCTAAGCCCCTTCCTCCATTTCTGTTTACAGTTGTGATTTAGTATTCACTGTCTTTGCCCAACACTAGGCATTTTATATATAAAAGAGAAACTGTGATCTCATCCTAGTTGGGTTCTTTCCTGTCCCCATGCCCAGCCTGTTCCATTCAGGAATCCTATATGGTCCTCAATAAATAAAAAGGACCATGTAGGGTCTTCGGGCCTTGTTTGGGGCAGCCAAGAGACTGATATGAACAGAACTCCCTGCCACCTACTACCAAGGCAGTTGGTTAGGTGGGCTCTGTGCCCACGTTGGGAAGGATAAAGGTATGGGTGGGGGGCTGAAGGAGCCCCTGTCCCTGTCTGGGGCTGTGGCCTCTGTGCAGATCGTCCCCAATCAAGAGGCCCTACTGAAGGTTGGCATGCGGCTGAGCCACCGGGTATGGGATGTTTTGGTGGTTGAACCTGGCAACCAGATGCCAGTGAAATCCTCAGGTGACGTCTGGTCACAGGTCACGTCACATCACGTCCTCCTTGGCTTTTCTTCCATTTGCCACTTTTTAAAGGAATTCACACAAGCTGTGTTTTCTATGATACCTGTCTGTGACTTTCTGCAGCTGGGGGTTCCTCTACCCCCTTTACCTGGTGTTAAACTTTTCTTTTTGTACCAATGGATCTGGGCCCAAGACACTATCCACACTGGAAGGGGATTTCTATAATAAATTGGAAACTGAACTCATGTTGCTCCTCTGTTTGCTTTGCCTCAGGGACCCACATCTCTAAAGTCCAGATCCTTTTTTTTTTTTTTTGTGGTACTGGGGTTTGAACTCAAGGCCTACACCTTGAGCCACTCCAACAGCCCTTTTTTGTGATGGTTGTTTTTTGAGGTAGGATCTCGAGGAACTTTTCCTTATCTCTGTTTCCTAAGTAGCTAGGGTTATAGGCGTGAGCTACCGGCGCCCAGAAGATATGTTTTTATAGTAAGAAGAAATAACACTGTGGAAATAGCCTGTGATATTGGCATCGTTTTGTTCCAAACTGTCTAGCTGTGCAGCCCAGGCTGGCCCCCAACTCGAAATCCTCTCAAGTGCTGGGATTACAGGCGTGTACCACCATGCCCAGCTGTTGTCAGCTGTTTTGACCTTACTTGCATGTGTGACCTGAGGCAACTCCTGCCTGCACTCAGATTCCTAACTCACCACAAACAAGGACTCAGTTATTCAAACAATGATCATACACACACTATGCCTATAACCTCCCTGTACTTTACAACTCATCCAGAGGTAATGGGTTTCAGGAAGGATCTGAGTGGCCACCCTTCAGTCTATACACTTGACAGAGACCCAGACATGTAGAGTCCAGCAGAGTTCAAAGCAGAAGAGCACTGTCCATTCAAGGGTGCAATGACTTCACCCAGGAGGCCAAGTTGGCTGGAGAGATGCAACAGCTTTATTGTTGCAGCAACACTGTTATATATGCCCTACTCCCTGTTGGAGCTATCCCTGCCCTAACCCACACCTTGGTCCTTGACACAGAAACACTGGGGGAAGGGGCAAAATCTCTTAAGCAGAGTTGGAGGAAGGCTACTGGGACTGGTGAGGGCAGGGAGTCACCTGGGACCAAGGGTTCAACAGGGTCAGGATACCTGACTCCACCTAGGGGAGAGCTGAGGACACTTGGGGGCTTGGGTTCAAAGTTTGGCAATGTCTTAACCTGGGTTCCAAGCTGGGGGTGGGGTCTGGAAAAGCTTTGGTCCAGGGTTCAAGATTCGGGAATGTTCTGCCCCAAGCTCCAGCTTTGGGGCTGAGCATAGACCTGTGAGTCCCAGATTTGGGGTAGGGGAGTATCTCTGGGTCCACGGTTTGAGACTGACCATGGATGCTCTGGTCTCAAACCTGTTTGGATGCTGGATGTGGGTGGCTCTAGGTCCCAAGTTCAGGGCTGGGGAAGACTGATCCTGAGAGCTTGAGTGTGAGGGACATCCTAGTTTTGGACTGGGGTGGGTAGTCAAAGATGTCCTGTTGTTTTGACTAGTCAGCGGACTCTAGGCTCCTATTTTAAAGGCTGGGAGAGGACTGTGGGTTCTGGGTACGGACTGGGGGTGGGGTTCTCCAGGTCCTGGGTACAGATGCCAGGCCCCTAGGATCCAGCCTCCTGCTCTTGTCCCAGCGCCTCTAGTAGCAGCCCCATTGGTGTCCGCTTGAGACCAATGCTCTCGATCTTGTTCTCAATCTTGTTTTTAAGGTTGCGCAGGCGCAAAGAGGCATGCACCAGGATCACTGTGGGTGGTACCAAGAGAAGTGGGGTCAGTGATGGAGGGGTGGCTCACCTTGTCTCCAATCAGGGCCCACAAAAGGGAATTGGCACACAGGCAGACCAATGGAGTGGTGAGTGGCTAGGAAGCCTCTGATCCTTAAAGTGTGGCGGAGTAATTTGCTCTGCAACCAGAGAGTAGCGGCTGGGGAGCCTGTCCTGGCCAGTTTAAGACACTTTAACACCAGGAACCCCAACAAGGCGGTAATAAGAAGGGTACTCCAGAAGTGGGGAGCAAAGCCTTATTGGCGCTTTTAACGGAGCTTGTTCCGGGGTTCCCAGTCCCCTCTCAGCCTAGGAAAAAGTGCAAGGCAGGTCTGGCGTCTTAAGCATGCGTTGGCTGTTTTCCCAGCTATCTCGGGGTAGTAGAGACTCACGAAGCACCGGCCCGGCGATGCTGAGCAGGAAGGTGCAAGCACCGCCCGCGACCCAGAGAACGAGGAGGCAGACGGCAAGCACTGCAGCCAGACAGGCGGCGGGGTGGGCGCGGCGGCAGCGACGCACAGCTGAGCGGGTCTCAGCCGCCCACACCAGCACTCCGAGGGCCACTACCACTGCCAGCGCGCTCAGAAGCGTGTGGAGCGGACTCACATACCTGCGGGAACAAGGGCACCACGCTAGCCTCACCATTCTTCCGATCCTGGGCCCCAAGAGCTTTGGTCCCCTGTCTCCGGATCTTCTAGCCCGGCAAATACTCCTGCCAGCTCTATCAACGACAGGTCTATCCTCCAGGGATTCAAGGGGAGCTTCATTTCCTCCGTGTCAATCCTACAATTCCTGAGGTCCCTATTTCAGATCCATCCATCCCGCTAGGCGTCCCAGGCTCCCAACACTTCCCTGGTCTTTCCTTCCGACTCTACCCATACAGGGCTCCTCTCCCTTACCCCCTCCACTCCGCAAACTTCCCTCTCCCCCGAAACACACGTGTGCCCACTTTACCCATTTGAGCTGAACCCTTGCAGATCCTTCATCCAGGCCTCTGTCAACACACAATTCCCTCTCCCCAGGAGTCCTCCCCCTCAAAAGTCCCCTCCAGACTCCCATTCTCCCCCCCTCATCATTACTAGAACCCTTTCCAGGCCTTTGGTCCCACTCTTAACTTCCAGCCCTGCCCATATCCCGCCTTCAGATTTTTCATCTACTTCTGGTTTCAGGCTTCTCAACCCTGGGTCCTCCCTCTGGGCCCAAATTCCCCAAAAGGAATTCTTGGCGTGTTCCAATCACGGTCAGGCTCCCCTCCTAGACGATATCCTCCACAAGCCTACCCTTCAAATCCTTCAACTTCACATTTCCATCCTTGTCTGTCCTAAATCCCCCAGGGCTGCCTTAATCTGGCCCTATCACCCACATTACCTCATCTTCCATTTCAGGCCCTCCTTATCTTCAGGTCCACCTCCCGGCCCGCTTTCCTTTTAGTCCCACATTTCTCCATCCTACCCAAGTCTTCCCTCCACCCCACCCCCCGCCCAGGAGCTCCTTTTAACCAAGATCCGCCTCTTTTAAGTCCCTCCAATCCATGCCCCACCCTGGCCTAGCACTTCCCTCGGGTTCCCACTCCTGGTCCTCAAAGACCCGCGAGTCCACCCTCCAGGCCCTGCTGGCGTCCCCGGCCAAACGCCACCTTCCTCCCTCACCCGGCCAGTGCGAGACCAATGACAAAGCAGAGAAGATAGTTGGATTGGTAGTAGAGGAGATTGTTGATAACGCGGTGGCACCATCGCTGCAGGTCGCAAGGATCTGGAGCCGCCAGACGCGCTGACCCCAGAACAAAGTCGTCGAGGGCTCGCAACGGGGGCAGCCGCACCTCCGACATCCTGCTGGTTTGCTGGACCAGCCCTTAGGGTGGTGGGACTACAATACCCGTCACACCTCGCGGCGCCGCGGGGCACACGGGGAAATAGAGTCTGGGTGGAGCAAGTAACCACTAGGTATACTGCGCAGACACTGCAGAGCACGTGACCAGAAATGTCGCTAACACACAGTAACTTATGGCAGCAAGGACTGCCGGGAAGTCAAGCCTCCGCCACGCGTCGAGGCACTCCTAACTCTTCAAAACTTTTATTCATCCCCGGGAGGGGCACCACGGGGGACTGTACAGGCGGTGCCGCCGGCTTACACAGTAGCCAGCCAGGCAGCAATAAAGCGGCAGGGACTGTCAGGAGGACCCGCGCTGCATTCCATTTCCTGTCAGGATCACAGAAGGTCACACCTCTACTGGAAACCCCATGCCCCGCCCTTGAGGGTAAACCATAAATGCTGTTTAGGGCCTTTTATTCATATTCGCCACATCAGAGATCATCTCTTCCTGATAAGCTTTTGAAAATTCCCAGGTTTCATTAAGCCCTTCCCTTTGAGTCCCAGGCAATCTTTTCCAAGGTAGGAGTTCCAGGGAATCTGCTGCTTCCCTGGCTTTCTGGCCTGACTCTTCAGGCACACAGTCATAAAGTGCTTGGGGAGAAGTCAGCTGTTTATTTAGACGTAGTTCTGCTTGAGTGGAGAGTGGGCACAGGCCTCATTAATGCTTGCTGACTGGTGGCTTCCACAGCACTTCCCCACCCAGGGCTCAGCTTTGCAATCTGCTACTGTAGATTCCTAGCACAGCCCCCAGGGTTCTTAAAAGTCATCATCATCACAGATGTCAAGGTACACGTCGAAAGCCTCTCTGTTGCAGTTTCCATCAGGAGTGAAGACATATTTGTGGAAGGTCCCATCTACACAGATGGCTGGGGGTAGGGGAGGGTGGTAAAAGGTTAGGGACTGCCACAGCTACACATTCCAATTCTCTCATGTGTCCCATGTCTCAGAGCCTACCTCCTGGCCTCTTCCCAAGTGCCATGTCCCTTTCCTGATGATGGAGTTGAGTCACACATTCCAGTGCCCTCAAGATTCTGTTAGCCCTCAACTCCTTGTAGGTCCAACCTTCAGGCCTTTGTCCATGCAGACCCCCAAACCAAGAGGCTATTAACACTCACCAATTACAGAGTTGACGTTCTTGGAAGTATTGCGACCGAAGGCGCAGATGCAAGCTGACTCAGCAGGAACAGTAAAGCTCGCCAGGCTCCACTGAGAGTCCACATACTGCCCAATCATAGGCCCCACCTTGCCCACGCGAGCCAGCCTGCAGGCAGCACTGGGTAAGCCCCGGTATAGCATGTGGGCAGGGGGATGGGGAACACCGGAGGGCGGGGCAGGAGGTACTCACGCCGAGCGACGGTTGAGGCGGGTATCCTTAAGAGCAAAGATATGGACAGTGCCCTTATCACTGGAAGCGCAGAGGAAGGAGGAGTCGTGGCTGAAGTTAATGCTAGAAGACAGACCATCAGTGATGCCCAGATGCCATGTGCTGTGAGGTCACCAGCCCACCATACACATCCTGTGCTCACCAGTATAGGGTGGCAGGGTCAGTGCCTCTGCGCAGCTCAACCAGCTTCTCCTTGGACTGGGTGTCAAAAAGGCGAATGAGGGTACCTTTCTGGGAGGCTGAGGCTACTACAGTGCCTGGCTGGTTCAGGGACACACAGGCCACATCACTCTGATGGGCATTGATGGTAAACGGAGCAGATGAGGTGCCGGGCTTTGTGCTTGCCAGGTCCTGGGGTAGGAGGAGCAGTTTGGGCTTGGGTGGCATGGAAGGGAGGGGCCAAGAGTCTACAGAGAGAGCCATCCCACCCGTGTCTCCACCACTGCCCACTGGATAGCTCACCACAAGTTGCAGGCTTCCACACTTGTGTCCTGGGAATACAAGCAGTTGCTTCTCCAGGCTGGGGCAGAGGTCACAGAGCCCTAGGGTGTGAGGATGAAGTGGGGATGGGCAGGTGAAGGGGAAGGAGGTGCCAAGTAGGGTTTCAGAGTGGATAGAGCTGGATTATGTGTTACCCACAGCAGCCTCAGGGGGGCGGACTTTCCACTCAGCTGCACTGCCTACAAGCTAGGCAGATTCTTATCCTCCCCAAGCAGCTACATAGATTCTAATAAGCTGCTATGACAGCCCTGGAGGTCCAGGGCTCCCTGATACACTCACCAACGTTGTCCCTAGGTGTTTCTACTGTTTTCTGGGGCACCCAGGGGTGGGGCAGGGCAAGGGTGGGAAGCATGAAATGACTGAGGGACAAAAAGACTCAGCCCATTTGAGCATCTGTGCAGGGAAGCTGTCTTCCTGCCTCTTTCCCAGCATCTCTGTGTGCCCCTTCTTTTTTTTTTCCTCAGCTCTGCCCCATCCATGATCTCCCACCCTTACACCTGCATATCTGGGTTCTCTCACCCTTGGGGTTGTCCCGGGTGTCAAACTCGAACAGCTTTCGGGGATTATCGGGGAAAGAGTACACATAGATGCGGTTCCTCAGCACGATCACAATCCTGCAGGCATCACATGACACAAGATGGCCTTGAGGGGAGGGTGGCTGCCCAGCTGGGACTAACCCTCTCCCTTGCTGTGGGGACCTCCTGCCCCCCACCCCAGTCTTCATCAGGCTCACTTGTCATGGCGCATGCGTACAGCCAGCACTGGCTTTGTGAAGGTGAATTCCAGCACCAGCTTGTCCTTGGAGTCCTTGCCTTCCCGGGCATCGTCCCAGATCAGCACTGCTGGGCAGGTGGGTGGGTTGGCCAGGGCCAAGATTTAGGGTAAGGGGCAGCCCTGGTGACTCAGGACCCACCCCTACTCCCCATGGGACCACAACCCACTTGCTTGGCCTTTCACTAAAAATGTGAGCCTCACACAGCATGAACACTTTGTGGACATGATGCCTGAGAGAACAGATTCTAGAGCTGTTTGTTATGCTTATCTGGAGATAAGGAAATTAAGGTTTGAAGGGGCTGAGTGTTTGGTCAAGGACCTTACAGCTCATGAACACCCAGGCCTGCAACTTCCCCATCCCAGTCCACACCCCCAGGAGATTTCTGTGAGGAATTCTAGGGCTCTGTAACTCACCTAGGACAACTCTTGCCATGTCGCAGTGGGATCGACAAGAAAAACCCTTAAAACAAGATGGCACTTGAGGCTCAAGCCAAAGGGGTTGTTGGAGAGACGGCTCCAAGATTTGAAAACCTATTGATTGTGTGATCTTGGATAAGTTGCTTAACCTCACTGGACCTGTTCACTCATTAGTAAAAATGGGGATAATAGGCCCTGGCTTCCATCCCCAGCAAAGCAAAAGGTGGGAGAGATAATGATGCTTCCTACCACATGGAGTTGCTCTGAGGATTTTTGTTGTGAATTGTAGGTATTGGTTTTGATATGCTACTCTTCTTTTTTTTTGTTATTGTTATTGGTGTAGTAGGAGTACACTGTGACATTTATAAAAGTTCTTACAATGCATCATAGTTGAATTCATTCCCTCCATCATTCTCCTTTATCTCCCCCCATTCCTGGAACAGTTTCAACAGGTCTCATTTTCCATTTTCATACATGCGTACATAGCATTTCCACCATATTCACCCTTCTACACTCTTTCCTCTTTTTTTTTGTGGTACTGGAGTTTGAACTCAGGGCCTGCACCCCAAGCCACTCCATCAGTCCTTTCTTGTGAAGGGTTTTTTCAAGATAGGGTCTCACGAACTATTTGCCTTGGGCTGGCCTTCGGACCTCAATCCTCCTGATCTCTGCCTCCTGAGTAGCTAGGATTACAGGCGTGAGCCACCAATGCCCAGCTCACCCTTTCCTTATATCCTCCCTCCTCCCACTGGTACTAACCCCCAGACAAGACCTGTTTTACCTTCCTGTTCTCCATTTTTGAAAAAAAAACTTTGTTTGTTTAAGATACCTATACAGAATTTCATTATGATATTTGCATGTATATATGTATTGTATCCTAAGTTGGCTCATCCCCTCCACTTTTCTCCTTTCTACCTTAGTCCCCTTTTTATGGTGATTTCAACAGGTTTAAAAATTCTATATTCATTCTTGTATAGAAAGTATATCAACCATATTCACCTTCACAACGTCCTCCTTTTAGCCTCCCTCTTACTTTAAATGAGTTAATATACGTAAAGTGCTTAGAACAGTTTCAGATTCCCAGTAAGTGCTCCATAGTTGAGGATATGCACTTGATAAGTGTTTCGGTGGTGTTAAGGACTGAAGCCAGGGCCTTGTGCATGCGAGGCAAGGGCTCTACCACTGAGCTACACCTCCATGTAAAAAACATTAAAATGAAAATAAAATACCAAGCTGTTTGGGCCTCACTGTGAGACTCTGAGGTGCTCTGTCATCTTCATCTGCCAGTGCCTTAGGGTGTCTGTGGGAGGCCAGGAATTTGGGGAATCTGGGCCAAGGGGAGGATGTGGGCACTTACCTGAGATCTCTGAGAACTTGGGGCTGCTACCACCGCCCACCAGGGCCAGCAGGTTGGAGCGGTGCAACATCTCTACCAGGCCCATACTGCCCACCTGCTCATGGTCTGGACAGGAACCAGGGTGTCAGTACAGGTGAGTGCCAATGCCCAGCTCAGCCCTTCCGCCCATTCCTTCTTCACTATACCAGCAGCTTACCCAGATGTCCCTTCTCCATCAATGGCTCCACATTGTAGATGCGCACACCTGTCTCCATGGCACAGCAAAAGCAGCCTAGGATTAGAAGGAATCTGACTTCTTCAAGAAATGCTGAGGGGGAAGCTGGGCTCACAGCCCACATCTAACCCTCTCTTCCTCCATCCCATAAGGGTATAGGTGAAAGCCTCTCTTACTTTGGTCTTGGTTGAAACGTAGACTGGTCACCCCTCGAAGTGGCTGCTGAGTCATGGTCCAGGATTGCTCCCCTGTACACAAATAGGATAGAGTTGAGAAGAGTCCTGGAGTCTCTGCTCCCAGTCCTAGAACTTCTGTCCCAAAATGATTTCCTCCTCCCCACTCTGCTAACTTCTTTACCAAGTGCAAAGAAGACAAAAACAAGAGGTGAGGGATGTCCTACAGTCTCTGCTTTAAGCTACCAAGGCCACAAACAGAATGACCAGGAATCCCACATTTTCTCACATCTGGCCAACCCCAGATTCAGGCCTACACAGACTTGGATCCCCCACTTCCTCCTTAGACACCAGCTCTTACTGAATTGTCACGATGTAAGGGGGTAGGGAGTGCTTCAGTGACAACTCCTCTCCACCCCCAGTCAGTCTTGGTTCCAATGCCTGACATGGCCTTGAAACCACGCCCCGCCCACTTATTTCACACCTGTACCAGGACCCAACTCCACCTGTCAGTAAATAGGGGGAAGGGGGCTAAGGCCTCCACCTCTTCTTGCACCACCCTGAGCTGCTATGCATGGTCCACCACCCACAGAAACTCCCTAACTCATACCTTCTAACTCTATTTCAACCAACTCATGCATCTGCCTCAGTCCTTTCACCCTTACTCTCCTCCCATGCTTCCCCAAATCCTTCTCACGCCTTTAATGAGCCTTGACGCCCCCTCTCACACCCCTTTATACCCTGAAGACCCAACCTGGCATTCCGCCATCATTCTAAATCCCTCACCCTTGGGACATTCAATACTCTGTACTGTGCTGTCCAAGCGAGCTGGCCTACATTCACTCTCAGGAACCCCTCCACCTAACACTCCTCCTCTAGACCCTCCATCCTTTCCCCCTAGACACTGTCCCAGGGTACAGCCACCCCCTCAAGACACTTTCTCAAGACACATCACTCCAAATCCCTACCTGGTAAAATTTCAACCTCTCAAGACGCCTACTCTGGTTCCCATTCCCCAAGATTCCTACCCTAGAGCCCCCATCTTCCCTTCAAACCCCAAGACTTCTGCCCAGGTGCACCCCTGCCCATCCTCGAAGAACCCAAACCTCCTCCCTTTGCCCCCTGTAACACTTTCCACCGGGACAGTCTCACTGTAAGACCCACACTTCGGATAGCTCCAGCTTCCAAGAACCCCTTTTTATACCTCTATGCAAATGCCTGCACCACCCAAGAACCCTACCCGGAATGCCTCTCCCTCTCCCAAGACTACCCTCCTTCTTCCAACAGCTCCACCCACCCAATACCCTTGTCCCAGATTCCCCCGCCTTTCAAGTTCCCTACTTAAGGAAGACCCCTCCATGATGCCGACCAACCGTGAGATAGTGCTCCAGCTCCTCGCAGTCTTCGCCCTCCTGATCTCCACGCGACCCTAACCCCGGTCCCCGCTGTCGGTGCCGCCTGCGGCCCGGCTTTCCGACCTCCCGGGCCTTGCTGCCCGGCTCCCGTGTTTACATCAGGCCCTACTTCCGGAGGAGCGAGCCTGTGACCGGAAGTGACTCATCCTGCTCAGAAAATTTGCCTGAGGCTCTTCTTCCCCCTTTTCCAGATCTTTAAAGCATCCCGAGAGGGATCGGGAAGCCGAGGGAAGCCGGCTGGGGCATCCCAGGCGGAAAAGGTCACCCAAGGTCTAGATTACCTTAGAGAACTAGGGAGGAGTGGGAGGGAGCGAGAGAGAGCCTTCCTTTCACTATGCGGAAACCGGTCAGGCATTCAATTATTTAACCCTTGAAGAGCTCGAGGGGTTAACCTACCAGGCTAACGAGTTGGTCCTCCGAGTTAGGCTAGAGTAGCCGTCGGCTTTAGGAGTTTTTCCCGCGTTAGGGAATCCATTCAGGAGGTTCCAGGCTGGGGCGAATTTAAAGACCTTGGAAATTGGGCTTTTATCACCTTGATCAGGGAAGTTGAGGGGATGGAATTTTTCTTTCTTCCCACTCCACCTCCAGCTCTGTTTTATTTACAAAATGTAAAAGATTTTTGGTAGAAAAAAGTATGAATGATTACTGTGAAAACAAAAAAGTATTTAAACTTTAAAATTTTGTGATAGGTGTACAGTCACATAGGGTTGTAAGAAATTATAAATATCATACTTTTATTATAATCGGGCACTGACAGAGATACAACCTACCCATCCTTTACTTTTCTTTGGAAATATTCTTTTGATGGTATATTAACCTATAAGGACATGTGTTTTAGAGCTTGGGGTGTACGTAGCTGAAGTGGTAGAGCGTGAGGCCCTGGGTTCAAAACTCCTGTACTATCCCCCTCCCAAAAGTTTATTATGAGGACATACTTTTAGCTTGTCCTTATTAACTGGCTGATATTCCATGTTACAAATGTAACATTGTTTAGACATTCCCCTATTTGATAGCCATCAATGTTGTTTGAATCCAGTGTTGTCAACTCCCCCCATAGACGCAATTTCAGGAATATATCATATACCCACCACATACCCGTCTAGGCGTGGCCTCATCTGACTCCTCAGCCAAGCCAATCTTCTGGCTTTCTTCAGTTTCCACTTCCTCATGGCTAAGGCCATATTTAACTGGATTTAATTTGGCTTCTGTCAATCCCATTGTCTCTGAGACAATGTTGCCAAACTAGCAATCACTTACCTCCCCTCTCCCCTCCCAGTGCAACTCAGTTTCTTCCTCTCTATTGCTTTCTCCATTTATGGCTACTCCTCCACTTCTATCCAATTTCCAAATATTGGTGTATCCTTGGCTATTTGCTATGGTCTGAATGAGTCCCCCAAATTCATCTGTTGGAAACTTAGTCCCCAGATTCTTTTGTTAATGGTATTTGGAGGTGGGGCCTTTGGGAAGTGACTGGGTCATGAGGACCTCTTGGTCCTCATGAAAGCATTAGTTTACCTGTGGATTAATGTATGTTCTCAGGAGTGGCTTTGTTGCTGTTGTTGTGGTGCTGGGAATCAGACCCCGGGGAGCCTTTTTTTTTTTTTTTTTGGTGGGACTAGGGTTTGAACTCACAGCTTTGAGACTGGGGTCTTGTGTATGCTAGGTAAGCAGTCTACCACCAAGCTGTATCAACAGCCCCATTTATGCCATTCAGTAATGGAAGGGATTGTATGTGTGTGTGGGGGTGCTGGGGATAAAACTCAGGGGTCTCATGCCTTTTAGGCAAGCAGTCTACCCCTGAACTACACCTTCAGTCTTCAGGTTATTATTTTAGTGTAAGGATTAAAGAAATTCCATTATCATACCAGTTGACTGTTCTCTCTCTAATCCTGATTTCTTGGAAAGTCAGATATAAAGCTTAGTTTCAATTTACCTTAATCCTTGCACAAAAAAAAGTAATCTAAAGGAGCCCGATACTAACCAATGAGCTATTTTTCCATTATTCCATCTGTCTCCCTGTCCCCACCTTATGAGGAAGTAACTCTGAAATAATCAATCTGAACCGGGTGTGGTGGTTTACCTAGTAATTCCAGCACTAGGGAGGCTGAGGTAGGATGATTGCAAGTTCTAGGACAGGCTGGGCTGTATAGTGAGACCTTGTTTCTTTTTTTTGTAGTACTGGAGCTTGAACTCAGGGCCTACACTTTGAGACACTCCACCAGCCCTTTTATGTGATGGGTTTTTTCAAGATAGGGTCTTGAAAACTATTTGCCTGGGGCAGACTTCGAATAGTGATCCTTCTGATCTCTGCCTGCTGATAGCTAGGATTACAGGCATGAGTCATGGCACGTGGCTTCAAATGTGTATCTTTATTATCAAGGCATCTATATGATTTTCCCTTTGTTGTACTGAATTACATTATGTTATGTTATTAGTTTGTAGACTCCTGACTTCTTGGATATGAGGTGAGGCAGCTCTCTGAGATTCTGTCTACAAGAGAACTAAAGTCTAATCCTACGCACGAGGGCTCCATTTTCATGACTTAATCACCTTTTGAAATCTTCACCTTTGAGGCTGGAGGTCTAGCTCAGTAGTAGACTGTTTAGCATGATGCCAGCACCACAAAAATCAAAGCAAAGCAAAACAAGAAACCAAAACTCAGGGCTGGCGATGTAGCTCAGTAGTTAAATGTTTGCCTAGCATGCATGAGAATTTGGGTTGGATTCTCAGTACGAAAGAAAAAAAAAAGCAAACCAAAAAAACAAAAAAACCCCTCATCTTCAAAATATCATAATTTGAAGGTTAGATTTTGAATATGCTTCTAGGAGGACACAGACAGTTCACTGCATAGCCCTTTACCTCTGCTCCCATTAAACCTGAAGCAATTCTAAAATCTCTTTCTCTTCTCCCTTTAGCATTACTCCGTCTTCTCTTTTCTGGAAGTCATACTTGTTAGTCTTGTTCTTTCTCTTTCTTTTTCTTTTTTTTGGGGGGGTACTGGGGTTTGAACTCAGGGCTTTATGCTTTCTAGACAGGTGCTCTATTGCTTGAAGCCACTCTGCCAGCCCTTCCTACCTGTCATATTGGGGTACTTGTGTCTCTCAGGAGTTTTACAAATATGTGGAGCTAAAAGCCTAAGTCAAGAAAAGTTTAGCTTGCAGTATTTAAGCAAGCAGACTGAAAGAGACAGACAGAACAAGGCTCTCAGCTCGTATGCATCAAAGCAAAGATTCTGCATTTTAGGTTCCCTTTGCATAACCCCATCGCTCACGTCTAACTGCTACCTATCAGTCCAACTCCCTTTTGGTTCTTATTTGCCTTATTTTCTTCTCTACCTGCCATTATCAACTTTTGTTTATTATTTTGTTCAAAGTGTGTTTCCTTTTTTTTTGGAGTAAAAATAATAGTAAAGTTTATTAGGAGAGAAATTTAGTATAAAAGGATAAAAGTGGGGAGAAATGGGAAAAAGAGAGAAACGTGTCCTGCCCCATACAGGACATGGAGCGTGGAGGAACACATCTGGTCCAAAGTGTGTTTCATGTCACTGTCTATGAATTAATAAAAACATCAGGGGCTGGTGGCAAAGCTCAGTGGTACAGCACTTGCCTAACATGCCTGAGACCCTGAGACCCTCCCCTTGTGTGTGGGCTGAACCTAATGATCAGCTTCTAATGAACAGAATATGGCAAATGAAACCAGGCACCAGTACCTGTAATCCTAGCTATTTGGAAGGCTGAGGTTGGAGGATTGTGGTTTGAGGCCAGCCTGGGCAAATAGTTCTCAAGACCCCATCTCCAAAATAACCAGAGCAAAATGAACTGGACTTGTAGCTCAAGCAGTAAAGTGCCTGCCTTGCAAGCATGAGGCCCTGAGTTCCAAACCCACTCCCACCAAAAAAAATATGGCAAATGATAGGCTGTCACTTCCATGACTAGACCACACCTTTTGACTTGCTAGCTCTCTGTCTCTGTCTATCTCTACCACTCCCTCTTGCCCTGTGGTTTGCTTTCTCTGATCCAGAGCCAAAGGATCCTGTCTGTTAACCAATGAGCAGATTTCTTTTCTTTTTTTTTTTTTTTTTTGGTGGGACTGACTTTTGAACTCAGGGCTCAGTTTCATTTGCTCTGGCTGTGTGGCCTTGAGCAAAGAAGTCACATAAATTCAATCTCACACTGGTCACTAGCAAAACAGGACAAGCAGGGATGCAATCTAAGGGTTGAATGGATAATGTGTATAAAGTGTCTGCCGACAGAGTACAGGAGCCTCAGCAGTTCATTAGGGTGTGAAAATTATAAGAGTCAAAATGGAGTCACTCTTGTCAACCCTAACAACAAAAAAAAGTAAAGTCAGGAGGTTACAAAGGATGGGTTCTTGCACACAAGTGCCTAATAGTGATTATCACAAAAGACTCCATACCACAATCTTGCATGAAGGTCACTGTCACTTCACCCAGAAAATATTTCTGCCAGCAACTGCCTGTTCACCCTTGGACTGGCACCATCTTCATTATTAAGCATTGTGACCAAGGATTATTTCATAATCTGTAGTCCTCCTCATTTTTTTCTTTCATTTTTTTCTGTTCTGTGTTTGTTTGTTTTGTTTTGCGTTTCACCTTTAAAAACCTCCCCTGCCTTGGCCTCTGAACTGGCCCATAGTTTACTGTGGCGTGTGAATTCGCTGTAGTGCTCTGCTATTCCCAGATAAATGTCATCACTTTTGGAGAACCTCTCTCTGATATTCATTTAGGTTGATAAGGGCAATGCCCCCACACTGCAGCAGGGACAGAGCTCTCCTTTTCTGGCAAAGATCCAGGTGACATCCAGTTCACTTTGATTTTGCAAATTCAATGAATCAAAAAGGCTCTAAGTGTTCTGCCACTGATGACAGCTGGCCAAATCCATAGGTACTTAGCGCAAATGCCATTTTGTTTTTCACGTTCTGTGGCAGACCAAAAGGGAAATCGATCCTGAAAGTTCCAACTCATGAATGTAAGAGCACACTAAAGTGATCTCCACTTGAGGCATGGGAAGGGGACAGCCTTGGTTGGTTTAGTTGTCCATTCTTGTCACCAGCAACAGCTTAGTGTGCAAAGCAGAGGGCAGATTTGATGTTTAGGATCCTAAATTTCCCTTGAGGAAGTAAGCACATCAGATGGACTCAGGGGAATGCTCAATTCTGCCTAGAATGGAGCCAAGTTACTGAGGCCGAAAAATCCCACTTGGTTGAGTTTGGGAAACACAGAAACGGTGTCTTAAAAAACAGTGCTGAGCCAGGC